CGATGACGGCTTCACAAATTTCCGGAACCTCCACCATTGAAGACAAAACTCTCATCGAAGACCAAAAACCCAAATCATCACCCTCTTCTAAACTTCGACCATTCCTTTCCTACCGTAATACCGTCATTTCCAGGATACCTTTATTAAATACAGCCCGAGTCCCTGCTAACTGAGAAAACACTTAATTTTCATAGCTTTTAATTCGACAATGAACTTCTTAGTTCTAAAATCTATTTTATCTTCTGTTCTGTAATAATTTGTAGTAACCACCAAATACTGTACAATACGAAATCATCGATCTCCCTTCTCTGTCCGAATCCTATTTTCCGGGTCCCAATTTTGAAGACTAAATATAGGCAAAAGAAGTAAAAACTGAAAATTGACAATCAGTTACCTTCTTTATTTTTTTGCTAAAATTTTGGCGCATTGGCTAAATTGGCCAACGCTGTTTCGATATTGGTATGTTGTGTATTTATTGAAATGCTGAAATAAAGCATTTATTAACATTTTGTATAGACAGGATGGGATAAAAGCCTGGGAGAGAGAGAGCTCGAGAAAGAGAGAGAGAGAGAGAGAGAGAGAGAGAGAGGGAGGTTTGTGAGCGAGAGAAAGAGCAGCCTACCTCTAACCTCTGGAAGCTGTCTACAAGCCTTTAAGAGATCCTAAAACGTGCCGGTGCTTACTGTAACAAAAATTCAGAATTTACGAGCAGATTTTGCTAGTTAATGACGATTAAAAAATTAAAGACAGTCGGTTACAGCTCCACCTTTTTCCAAACTTAAAGGGCTGGAGAAAGATGGGCCGGCGTCCGTCGGGGTGACGGACCGCCGCGGCGTTACCATCGACGCTTTCCCTCGCGTAAGCGCCCCCCAAAACCCCTCTCGCGTTTGAAGAAACCAGTTTATTGGCTATAACTTTTTCATTTAGCAATGTTTTCAACTAAAAATTTCCTGAAACCAAGGACTTGGTGATACGCATCGATGGTAAAAATTTGAGCTAGGTTGGATGGAAGGCGGCCGAGTTCTGGGCGATTCGGGGTTTTGGGACACTGTTTTGGCTGAAAAAGAGGCGCCTAGACAGCAAAACATCTCTAGAAAATTACAAAGTACGTTGCTATCCTTTAGCAAGGTTTTCTAAAACATTTTTTAGCTATTATCACCATGAAATTGCTTTATTTCTAATGGCAGTTCTTGTACAGGTGGCAATGCGCCCTAGGGTATGTGGTGGCCCCCCGCCGCCCCTCTCCACTCGACTCTCTGGTGTACTGGCTAGCGCTTCGGACTGCGGGGGCGGACCATCCCTGGTTCGACCCCCGTCCGGTGCGACCGCCCTTTAAGGAATGCTAAAACGTGCTAGAGATTAACAAATTCAAAACCATCGGTTCGAGATCCACCTTTTTCCCAACTGAGAGGAGATCTATGGATATTCCATGTAGCAATTTGAATAAAACGGAAGTGGGCTAGAATGGAATTGGCAGCATTCCGCAGTCATTTTCTTCTGAAAATACTAGAAGATGGTGCGTTCCCTTTTCAAGCAAATTTATTTTTCGTGTCGAAATGGCGCCGCGCTTGCCGCCGGAAGCGGCTCCCTCAAATTGATGCGCCCTTTCGGCCTCCCCCGCCACCGCCTCCTCCTCCGCCCCCCGCCTTGGAGGTTTTCCTCGGCATTGCGGCCTTGGCCGTCAACAGGCCTAATTTTGGCGAATGCCGCCGTTTTGCCGAGCAGCGAGCTGGCGGCGCGCCCTTTGCCGACCAGATGAAAGTTTGTCAATTCATGGAGCATCTTAAAAATTCTAGCCTTAATTGTGTTCGAAAGGTTGTAGTTTACATTACCCCCCGCCCCTGTTGCGGAAATCTCAAAAACAATTTTGGGCACTTAATGGGTAGGGCTAGGTCCTAAATATCAACGCCTAACCGGAAAATGCAAATCAAGAAATCATAAAATTTATAAAATTTAATTAGTGTTTTAGAGGCTTGCAGCATTCTCCTCGTTTTTTACCATAACCTTTAATCAAATTAATGATTTTCGGCTAAAAATAACACTTTTAGTATTTTTTTGACATTCTATCGAATGGGATTCATCAAATTTTGTAAAAATCAAGAAAATATCAAAAGCTAGCTTCTCACTCACGGTTCATCTGGATTGGAAACCAGGTTCAAATCTGGTTTTTGCTATAGCTCTTTTATATTGGGTTATTTTAAAATAAAATTAAAACTAGCAGCATATTTTTTTTGATGCTCTATCGAATCGCACGTCAAAAAATGAGAAATATAGCTCTGTCAAGAAACTTAGGACCCAATGGCTAGGGCAGGGGGGGGGGGGTAAAGTAATTCTTGGCCTCCAAAAATTCAGATAAGGCCTTCTAAATTTACTTTCCTCCAAACTTCATTACGATCCGTAGAAATTTGGTGTCGGCATCGATTCGTATACAGATCGCCGCCTCCCAGGTGCTCGTCTCGGGCAAATTTCTGAGCCGGCTGGGCGACGCGGCCCGCCAGGGCAACCCTGGCCTCGGCAACGTACGCATTGGTCGACCTCATAGTCTAATAGTCAGCGATAAGAAGAAAAGTGGCCGACACCGGGATAGTTTGGAAACGAGTTGATGGCAGGCAGAGGGAAAAGCTGATGTGTTGCGCGCTAACTAGCAATTGCAGGACATTTTATCAAAAACTCCACCGAGTTTGCGAATTATTTCGGTGCAAGCCACCCTCTTCTTGTCGTGCGTCTTCTCTAGATGATTGGGCATTGCACTAGTTGGCAAGTTCCTGTAATCGCAACGAATTGCGCATGCGTATTTTGCAGTAAGGGGTTGAGATCAGTTGCGAACGGTTCTGGGAGATTACATTTTCTTGTTGTTTACTAAGTGGTGCCCACTCATCGGGAAGACGACAGGGTATAAGAATGAGTAACTCATGTTTCTTTGGCTTTAGTATGGCCGGGCGCAGGTCATGCGCGCCGCGCGCATGCACCGGCGCCGCTATCTGTTGGCCGTCCAGGTGCTCGCCCGGGAGGCTCAGCGGCCCCCACCGGTCCATGTTGGCGTGGTAGAATTTTCGTGAATAGACTGGCACTGGGAGAATCGGATCGCAATGTTTAAACCATTTAAAAGAGTGCGAAAAGATCGCTACTTCAATTTTGCGCTAACAGTCGACCGGAAGTATATAGGAGCACGCTGCGCTAATTAGTTAGTTGCAAAGCGGGTATGGCTTCGGATCCTAAGCACTATCGATGCCCGTTATAGAAATTTTGTCATTATCATATATTTTGCGCCAAAAAAAAAATAAGTCAACTTGGACAACGAATAAGCTTCCCAGCGCTTTTCGAATTCTTGAAAATCATTTCCGAAAGGTTCATAAATTATCGCGTCCGATTCTCCTAAGTTGCCATGTCTGGCGATCGCGTCTATCGAGCCGATCTCAACTCCTGTATATTTAACATTTTCATGAGGCCGGCCTGTGGCTCCGCCGTGGCGTCCGATGGGGGCGTCATTTCCGCCCAGTCCCGGTCGCGGTTTTCCGCCACCTTAACCGATTTTTTGTCAGTATTACCAATTCCAATTTTCAACGCGCGTTTATGCGGCTTAGTTGAAGTTTTTTATTCCAGGCCCAGGCCCTGTGAGGCGTCGTCCGGCTCCAAATATCAATATTTTATATGGCGTCTTTTTTGTATGATAAACTCTGGCCAAACGCCCAAAGCAATTTTCATAAATTTTTTTCTGAAAAATGCACTAAACACACCCATGGAATGCCAACCCCCGGTCCAGCGGCTCCAACATCAAATTGATCAGGTGAACGTTAGCGCCGTTATTTTTTCATTTTTCCGCCCCGATCCTACCGTACGCTCCGGCTGATGGGCCAAAGATGGATTGTGCGCTCCCTGACACGCTGCAAAGGAATCTCGACGGTTTTTTTACTATTTTTAAATTGCAACTATGGCGTAATTTTCCTTAGCTACGGTAGCCACCCTAACTTCCACGTTTCCATCTTGGCAGACCGTTTTAGATTCACTGAAATCATCAACCTTATTGGCATTCCGCGGTCATTTTTCGCTTGATAATTGGTGAAAGTAAAGTAGGAATATAATGCTACACATAAAACTCCAATGTTTTTAGAAACTCGGGTGATGAAACGAAACACCGGTCGACAAGAAGCTTCCTAATGCATCGTCGTTCGGAATGGCTCGGAATGGTAGTCTACAGTCTCTTCAATATATCCTGTATTTTTCAGAGATCATCACAACACACAAAAACTGAGGAGGATGATCAACAACAGAGCTGAGCTGTCGAAGAACAGGTTTTCCAACAGGAACGCTTGGAAATATTGTCCATTTAGGCTCGAAGATATCCGTCACCTCCCTGCTCCTTCTCCATGACATCTACACCAACCTAATAACGAACCCGAAATGACTGCTGTTTTGCACCTTTTTGTGAAATAAAGAGGGATCTGAAGACTACCGATTTTTTCACGATTAACATATGAGAAGTCAAAATAGAATTGAAAACTAAAAAAAATTAAAATGAAAGCAAATCAAAGAAATTGCTATTTAAAGGCCGCAAACAGCATTCTCCTCGGCCAAAGTGCCAGAGCGAGCGATGGAAAATAAGCACCCGCCAATGCATGCCGAAATTTGCATAGATGCTTCGATTGGCAGCAGTAAAGGCAGTCTCATTTCTTCGCGTTCTACCCTCGTACCGATCGGTGGTTGGTTTTTGTTTTGCTACTCTTTTAATCTCTCATGAATTCCGCCATGGCCCCTCGTACTGGAAATCATGAACATCTGGAACCCGAAGTCCCCCACTTCGCCCCGCCGCCAATCAATATTGACCAGATCATTGGGTTGTTTTTGCCCTTAAACTTAAGTCCGTCCAGGTTGCCGAATGCCCGCGTCGAAATTCCGGAATTCCGCGCAGCCGAAGAGCTTCTCGCGGCCAACCGCGCTCCCGCCGATCGCGTCGAAGAAGCTCAGGTTCGCAAGTTAAAGGGATGAGCAAGGCATGACTACGAATTTTCTTAGCTGTGGTTTCCAGATGAGTTTTGCCTCTGGCCATCTAGTCAATGGAGCAAAAACGGTGAGAGGATTATAGCCAACAAAATCCATCGTCATGCATTGCCGATTCCTTTAAGGCAATTGTGTTTGACACGGTACTTGAGTATTTGCGGGGGATTCTTGGAGAAAACAAACTTTTTCCGGCTGAGACCTAGATTTTTTATAGCAATCTCTACTAATGGCTTAGTAAAATCGCTTCCGCATTCTTTAGCATAAAAACATTGGACTTTATTTCAGCCACAAATTCGGTTTTTTCGACCTTAAATGATCAAATTTCCCAGTTTTTCAAGGATTATTCTCAATTTTCTAAAAATGTTGGTTGAATTCAAGGTTGATTTTACGTTAAATAGCCTATGCCAAGCAAAACTTCAAGTACCACTCTTATTCTGGCCGTTGGTAGGTTATCGTCTCCCATTTTGTGATCTTCGAGACGCGATTGGCGCTTCTACGTGATGCCATCGACCGCGGCGACCCGAGGATTTTCTTCGTAGGTATTTGCAGCAAAACTACAAAGACAAAAAAGTTTAGTCTATAATTTCCCGTGCCTGGAAAGCTAATGCTTACGGAATTCGAACAAAGGCTCGAGTTCTTTCCGGGCGGACCAGCTTTTTAGGATCCAATTTTTCAAATATTCACAGGCGGAAGCGTTTTTAAGCTGTTTTTTACTAATCCTAAAAGTAAATTTTATTGAAAAAAATCGAATTTTTTGACCAAAATTGCGATTTTTGGCAGTTTGTTGTTGGCCTAGCTTACAAGGAGACGTTTTTGAGTGTCGTCGGGACTTTGGCACGGGACCAAGCCTATCTTGTGCAGAATTTTACGCTGATTCCGAAGATGTTAACCGTTTTTGCGGAATAGCCATTTCTCGAAAGTTATGAACGATTTAAGCCTCAGAACAGCCCAAAATCGGCCACTTTCAATAGTCATAAAAAGCTTCAAAATAAGTTTTAGACAAAACCAGATAGTACATCTTGTTCAGAAAAAAATTCTCTATAAAATGTACCATCTTTTCCAAAATCATTGAAAAGTTGGAAAAATTTGATATAATTTTGATAAATTTTACAAAAATTTTCACATTTCGAGCATTTTTGAGTTAAGTAGCTTATGTTATAGAGAATTTTTTTTCTGAACAAGATGTACTATCTGGTTTTGTCTAAAACTTATTTTGAAGCTTTTTATGACTATTGAAAGTGGCCGATTTTGGGCTGTTCCGAGGCTTAAATCGTTCATAACTTTCGAGAAATGGCTATTCCGCAAAAACGGTTAACATCTTCGGAATCAGCGTAAAATTCTGCACAAGATAGGCTTGGTCCCGTGCCAAAGCCCCGACGACACTCAAAAACGTCTCCTTGTTAGATACAGTTATATTTTACAAAAAAAGACTAATAGATTAGTTCGGAGTAACTTTTTAGTTAGATATTTTTAGGGTTACAAAAAGTTTCGGTCACCCAATCCTCGGTAATGGGAAAGAACCAAACTTCGTGCGCCTTGATTCTAGGTGGGCCAAGACGTGCTTGTCGCCTACATCGGGGAGTACAGCCGGGTCCATGATCGGGCCAAGGCCCGTATGATGATGCTCATCGCAACCCCTGGCGACCACCGCCTGAACCGCGTAAATTCTATATTCGCTATGATAAGTACAAATATTCCTTGCCTCGTGGAGTACAAATTGTGATTTTCAGGACTACCTGCGGCTGCAGCGGTCCGCGCTCTCGTGGATGCGCAGGGTCCGTCTCCTGAAGGAAGAGCTCGAGATCTCGATCCCCGCTCTGTTCGGCTAAAACGGCCAGATCTTTCTCATTTAATCCATTAGATAGAGGTGATTTTGAATGAATTTAATTCACCGAAAATTTCGGTCAATTTTATTTTACGGTTTGGTGAGAGTTTGTGCATTTCTTTCTCGCAAATAAACAATTTATTCGTTTGAAAGATACACACAACGATAAATAATTCACCGAGTTGACGACAGAATACATAAGCGTATTACACATGGCGAAATTGGAATGCTGGGCTATTCGAATTTTATAATTTTGCTTGTAGAACGCAGCTTTCAGTTGAAACATTAATTTTTATCTAATCTTATAGAATAGTGCAGGGTGGTTTTTAACCGAACGAGAGTGAGAGAGAGACACAGAGAGAGAAAGCGAGCGAGCGAGAAACTACGTTTAGCCACTAGAACGGCCTACAAGGCTTTAAGGAATGATGAAACGTAATAGAGATTAACAAATCAAAAACCATCGGCTAGACGCTCCAACTTTTCCAAACCCAGATGGAGATCTATGATAGATTTTCCATGTAGCAATTTGAATAAAACGGAAATGGGTTGAAATGGGTTCGACAACATTTCCCCATCATTTTCTTCTCGTACATCGAGAGAAGGTGCGTTCCCTTTCCACGCAAATTTATTTTTTCGCGTCGGATATGCCCCCCCGCCAACGAACCGAGGAGCAGCCGCCCTACTTCGAGGGCGACTATGTGGTCCCTCCTCCTCCTCCTCCTCCTCCCTCCTCCTCCCCGCTTATGGAGTTCCTTGGGATTGCCCAGCTCGCTCAGGGCCGGCCCGGGTTTGCCGCCTGCCTCCGCTATGGCGAGGAGACTGACGGCCTAAATCCGGCTGACCGTATTCGTGTTTGTCAATTCATGCCGCATCTTAAAAATTATAGCTTTAAGTTATTGAAAAAGGTTATAGGTTACTTTAACCCCCCCCAGCCCAAAATTCTGGCGCTATGTCCCAGATATCGCCTCCTAACCGGAACATGCGAATAAACAAATTTTAGTATATTATATAATTCAATTAATGATTTTTTGGAGGTTTACAAAACTTTGCTTCTTTTTACCATAGCCATTTGATTCTCATTATTTAGGGCAGAAATTAAAACTGAGAATATTTTTTCGGCGCTCTATCGAATGGCGTCAATCAAATCTTGTAAAAATCTCTAATCAATGTTTATGTGAAAGCCACGTTTTACGAATGCCGCGTCAATAAAACGAAGAAATAGTGGAACCAGCAAGAACTTTCGTACCCAGCAGTTGGGCGGGGGGTAAAGTAAACTTTAGCCTCGAAAAATTCTGATATGATTAATGTTTACCTAAGAGGTCGGGAATGTCCTCTAAATTTCTTTTACTAGAACTATGCTTCATTATGATCCGCAACAATTTGATGCCAGCATCAATTCGTATATAGGCCGCTGCCTCGCGGATTCTCGTCTCGGGCAAGTGGTTGGCCCGTCCCTCGAGACGCGGCGCGCCAGGCCATGCCGGGCTTTGAGAACGTACGCATTGGTCAACGGCATAGTCGAATAGTCAGCGATAAGAAGAAAAGTGGTCGACACCGGAATAGTTTGGAAACGAGTTGACGGCAGGCAGAGGGAAAAGCTGATGTGATGCACGCTAACTAGCAATTGCAGGACATTTTATCAAAAACTCCATCGAGTTTGCGAATTATTTCGGTGCAAGCCACCCTCTTCTTGTCGTGCGTCTTCTCTAGATGATTGGGCATTGCACTAGTTGGCAAGTTCCTGTAATCGCTACGAATTGCGCATGCGTATTTTCCAGTAAGGGGTTGAGATCAGTTGCGAACGGTTCTAGTAGATTACGTTTTCTTGCTGTTTACTAAGTGGTGCCCACTCATCGGAGAAGACGACAGGGTATAGGAATGAGTAACTCATGTTTCTTTGGCTTTAGTATGGCCGGGCGCAGGTCATGCGCGCCGCGCGCATGCACCGCTTCAGGTTTGGCCTGGCCCTGCAGGTGATCGCCCTGGCCCCGTTCATCGCCAATAATCCGGTAGAATTTTCTTGCAGGGTCTGGCACTAGGAGAATCGGATCGCGATGTCTAAACCATTTAAAAGAAATTACTGCTTAAATTTTGCGCGAACAGTCGACCGGAAGTACATAGGACGATATTGAAACCTCGCCTTTATCATATATTTTGCGCCAAGAAAATTATGTTAAGTTAAGTGAAGCACAAATGTTTCTCCCGCTTTTCCAATTTTTAAAAATGGCTTTGGTGGGTTTTCAAAAGGTTCATAAATTATTGCGTCCGAATCTCCGAAGTTGCCATGCCTGTCGATCACGTTTTCGGACATGTAGCCGATCTCAACTCCGGTATTTTTAACATTTTCATGAGGCCGCTTTGTGGCAGCGTCGGGCAGCGCGCTGGTCTCAGCATTATGGGGACGTGCAGGTCCAAGTATTCACCGAGCTCAACGGTTATTATGTCAGCATTACCGATCCTAATTTTCAAAATTTAATTATTAATTTTAATTTTTTTGATTTTTTTTGATTCCAGGCCCGCGAGCTGTGAAGCTGTCCCTCCACCCGTCAAGCCTCTCATATGGGATCTAAAAAAAATTGAATAATGAATCAGTTACGAGCACAAATATGCCAAATAAAGTTGGTCTGGGCCCTAACAATTGCGAATCAAATTTTTTCCAAAAAAGATAATCACGAAACACATGCATGGGCATCCAACCTCTGGTCCGGCGTCTTCAACAACAAATTTATCAGGTGAACGTTGTCACCAGATCCTACAAAGTTTTTTCATTTTCCCCCGCGCCGCTCCTACCGTCCCCTCCTTACGGCTGATGGGCCAAAGATGGATTGTGCGCTCCCTGACACGCTGCAAAGGCATTTGGAGGGTTTTTTTACTATTTTTAAATTGCAACTATGGCGTAATTTACCTTAGCTATCGTAGCCATCCTAGCTTCTACGTTTCCCTCTTGGCAGACCGTTTTAGGTTCCATCGAAATCATCAACCGCGGTCATTTTTCGCTTGATAATTGGTAGATCTTGCAAAGTAGAAATATCGTGTTACACATAAAACTCAGATGTTTTTAGAAACTCGGGCGATGAAACGAAACACCGGTCGGCAAGAACCTTCCTAAGCGTCGTCGTTCGGAATGGTCGGAATGGTACGGAATGGTAGTCTGCAGTCTCCTGAATATAGCTTGGTTTTTTCAAAGAAGATCACAACACCGCCGAAAATGATGATGCCCAACAAAATAACTAAGCAATCGAATCAGGTTTGGCGCTAGCGCTACTAGGGAAATATTGCCTATTTAGGCTCGAAGACCCCGTCAGCTCCCTGCTCCTTCGCCATTCCGTTTGCACCAGCCCAATGACGAAACCGAAATTAGTTGCGTTTTGTACCACTTTGTGAAATAAATAGAAATCTGAAGCTTACCTTTTTACCCTAGGGATCCAGGAAACTAGATCAAAATTAAAAACTCAAAAAATTAACATCGAAGTAAGTTAGAAAAATTGCGGTTTGAAGGTATACCCAACATTTTCGGTCCTGTAAAAGTAAAAATATAAATTTGGATTTGCAACCAAAGCCTTGGGTCTCCTTTTAAAGGCGGTGAGACGGCCGTCTCGAGTGCATTTAAGGCCGCAAACAGCGCTTCTCCCGGGCCAATGCGCCATTGTGAGTGATGAAAAATGAAAACCCGCCAATGCATGCCGAAATTTGCATAGATGCTTCTGATTGGCAGCAGTAAAAGGCAGTCTCATTTCTTCGCCTTCTACGAGGAATAATTGGTTGGTTTTGTTTTGCTACTCTTTTAATCTCACGTGAATTTCGCCATGCCTCCCCGAGTTGGTGGAGAGCAAATCACCGAGCCGGAGATCCTCCACGTCGCCCCGCCGCCGCCCAACGTCGATGAACTGATTGGGTTGTTGTTGCCCTTGAGCTTAATTCTCTCTAGTCTGGCTCGCGCTCGCCTGAATATCCCGGAATTCGTCGCCGCGGAGCAGCTTCTGGGCGCAAACCGCCCTCCCGGAAACCGCCTCGAAGAGGCTCAGGTTCGCAAGTTAAAGGGACGGGAAGGCATGGCTAAGGCTTTTGCCAGCTGTGGATTCCAGATGAATTTTGCTGTCTGGCCATCTGGTCAATGGGAGCAAAAACCATGGAAGGACCATAGCCAACAAAATCCATCGTCATGCATTGCCGATTCCTTTAAGGCAATTTCATTTGACACGGTACTTGAGTGTTTGCGGGGAAGAAAAGGAACTTTTTCCGCTGAAATCAAGATTTTCTCTGAATGGCTCGGTAAAATCGTTTCCGTATTCTCAACAGGGTGACGGTTTTAAGGGCTTTAGGATGGGACCAAGCCCGTCTTGTGCAGAATTTTGGGCTGATCCCGAATATGGCTAAAGTTTTTGCGGAATAGCCATTTCTCCAGAGTTATGAACAATTTCATCTAAAACACCCCCCCAAAGCATCAACTCTCATTGAACATAAAAGGCTTCGAAAGAGGCTTGGAAAAGACCAGCTAGTGCATCTTTTTCAAAAAAAAAAAAACTCTATGAAAGGTACCATCTTAATCAAAATGTTTGAAAAGTTGCAAAAATTTTTATGCATTTTGATGCCCCTAATTTTATAATAACTTCTAAAGTCTGAATCTTTTGAGTGATATATTTTAAATATATTATATATAGTGATATATTTTACAGAGAAATTTTCCTGAACAGTGGCAATAGCTGTTTTTCGAAAGCCTGTTTCCAAAGCTTTTGATGTCAAAAGTGGTTGATTTGTGGCTTTTGCCGTCTTAAACAACTCATAGGTTTCGTTAATTGGCTATTCCGCAAAAACGGTAACCATATTCGAATCAGCGCAAGATTCTGCTCCAGATAGGTTGGTTCCTATCCCAAAATCCGGGCAACACTTAGAACTTAAAATTGACAACCATTTGTGAGCATAAAAACTTGTTGCTTTTACTTTCGCCAAAATTCTATTTTTTCGACCTAAAACGATGAAATTTTCCGATTTTCAAAGATTGTTATAAATTTTCGAAAGGTTTCGTTGAATTCAAGGTTGTTTTTTACTAAAAAATGATGAGAATATCCGGTTACCAAGCAAATACTCAAGTACCAGTCTGATTCTTGCGGTTGGTAGATTATCGTCGCGAGCTTCATCGTCATCCAAACGCGCTATTTGCTCCTTCGGGGCGCCATCCACCGCGCCGACCCGCGCATTTTGATGGTATATATTTGCAGTAAAACTGCAAAGCCACAAAACTTTTGTCTTTAATTTCCTGCGCCAGGATAACTAATGTCTATTGAATTCGAACAAAACCTCGGGTTCTTTCGCATTATGGGGGGGGGGGCAGCCTTTTTTAAAGTCCAATTCTTCAAATCTACATACCGGAATGTTTTTAACTGGTTTTTTACTATTCCGAATGGTAAAGCCCTTCAAAAATTTTGATTGAAAAATGTAAAAATCCCAGTTTTCGACCAAAATTTCGATTTTTAAAAGTTTTTATATAATTGTTCTATTGGCTTAAATATAGTTATATTTTACCATAACACACTAATAAATAGTTTCTGTTAAGCCACGATTTTTAGACAATATATTTAGACTTAGACAATTTTTATACAAAAAAGGCTCGTACCCTCCTGATATAGGGAAAGAACCAATCCTCTTGCGCATTCACTCTAGATCGGGGAAGATGGCCTGGTCGCCTACCTCCGGGAGTACAGCGCCCTCTACGATCGGGCTAAGGCGCGCATGATGCATCTGATTGCACGCCCCGGAGAGCACCGCCATCACCGCGTAAATTCTATATTCCGTATTATGAGTAGTAAAATTTTCGTTTCCTTATTGTGGCACAAATTGTGATTTTCAGGGGTTCCTTCGCCTGCAGCGGGCTGCCCTCGCCTGGATGCGCCAGGTTCGCATCTTGGAGCAGGAGCTCGGGGGGATGGTCGCAGCTCTTTTCAACTGATATTCGGTGCTTGGTTTTGAATTGATGTTTAAAGTATGTTTAAAACGCGCTTTTTTGTTTTTTTTTTCTATCTCAATCAGTTTGGCCACTAGTATTGATTTGATAAATATGGTTCCTGGGCATACAATTTTTGCGTTGTCTTGGTACTGAATAAATGATTTATTGAATTGAAAGATACACATAACGATAAATAATTCACCGAGATGGCGACAGAATACATATGCATATTACACAAGGCAAAATTGGAATGTTAAGCTATTCGAATTTTACGATTTTGTTTGTTAGAATTTAGCTAAACATTGAAACGTCAATTTTATCTAATTTTATGACAGAGGGCAATTTCGGAATGACTTGCACCATGTTTTATAGCAAATTTTGAGCTTACTGTAATTTACACATAGACAATAGACAGCATAAAACAATTGCTCTCATATTAAAGCATTAATGAAATGGGTATCAAAATGCACGTACAAGTTGAGATCACAGAATTTGTTGGGCGTGTGTTCGGGGCTATCGAATCGTTGGATTTGGATAGAAATATCGGTTTTTGTAATAAAATAAATTAATTTTATAATGACTAGGTTTTCTAACCGGGGGAGAGAGAGAGAAAGCTAGTGAGAGAGCGAGAGCTAGAGCCTACGTCTAACCACTAGAAGCAGTCATGTTTTAAGGAGCTAGAGATCCCCTTCTTCCAAACTCACAAGGGAAGTGCACGACCGGCCCACGAGAAATCGACACGAGACATAATGGATCCGATAGACTCGAACACAGGGATTCCGAATCTGTAATCAGAATTTGCTAAATAAAACGGAGAAAAAAGTTATGAAGCTTCAAAGTTGGTAAAATCGCCTAAAAACGGACTTTTATGGGCCTGTAAAGGCCCAGGGTATGGAAATTTGCCACAACCCATTAGTGCATCTTGTTCAGCAGAAAAAGCGCTTTCGAATGAGCTATCTTACTTCAAGTTTACGATGATTTCGCGAAAATCTCTTCTTTGAACTTGACAGGCCATACCCTTGCCTGTGAATCCAAAAAAACTTTTTTCAGTGAATTGTTTGCAAATGCTACGTATTACAGCTCATTCGAAAGCGCTTTTTTTGTTGAACAAGATGCACTAATTCTTTTCTCCTCAATTCCGTTCCCCCGGTTTTTACGGGCCCTTAAAGGTACCGTTTTTGGCGATTTGGCCAACTTTTGATGCTTCATAACTTTTTTCTCCGTTTTATTTAGCAAATTCTGATTACAGATTCGGAATTCCCGTGTCCGATTCTATCAGATCCACTATGTCTCGTGTCGATTTCTCGTGGGCCGGTCGTGCACTTCCCTTGTCAGAGGAGATCTGATAGATCTTCCATGTTTCAATTTGAATAAAACGGAAGTGGGCTAGAATGGAATTGGTAACATTTCGCAGTCATTTGCTTCTGAAACTACTAGAAGAAGGTGCGTTCCCTTTCCATGCAAATTTATTTTTTCGCGTCGGATATGCCCCCGCGCGAGCGAACCGAGGAGTCGCCGCCCTACTTCGAGGGAGACTATGTGCCTCCCCCTCCTCCTCCTCCCCCGCCACTGGAGGCCTTCCTGGGCATTGATCAGCTGGCCGGTAGTCGGCCCGGATTTGCGGCTTGCCTCCGCTACAGCGCGGAGACCGACGGCGAAAACGCAGCCGCTCGGATTCGTGTTTGTCAATTCATGCCGGATCTTAAACATTATAGCTTTAAGTTATTGAAAAAGCTTAGTGTTCACTTTCACCCCCTCACCCCGTCCAAAAGTTCCGAAAATTTCTAGGCTCTTCGATGACTAGTGCTAGATCCCATCAGACCCACTAACGGCAAATTCCCAATAAATAAATGGTAAAAATTTTAGAATGGATTAACTATCATACGGCTTGCAGAATTTCGCTTGTTTTTGCCATAACTTTTTGAGTTACGTCATTTTTGGCTAAATAAATTGTTTATAAATTTTTGATACTCTATTAAATCGCGTTTATCAAAGGTTGCAAAAATATTAAAAATCGCGAAAGCGTATCATAGCGTATCATGAATGTTTATCTGTGCGGTCGCGCTCAAATCTTGTTTCGCCATAACTGTTTCAGATAACATTGTTTTAATCTGCATTTAAGACTAGTAGTACATTTTTTGATGCTGATCGAAGTGCGCGTCGAAAACCAAGTAAAATTAGCGCAAGTATCAAGAACACCCAGGAGCTGGGGAGGGGGGGGGGGTAAAGTAAACCTTGGCCCCCAAAATTTCTGATAAAATTAATGTCTACGTAAATCATCGAGAATGCCTTCTAGATTTACTTTACTCCATACTTCATTACGACCCATAGACGTTTGATGCCAGTATCAAGTCGTATATAGGCGGCGGCTTCGAGGGTACTTGTCTCGGGCAAGTTCCTGAGCCGTCTTCGCGAAGCGGCTCGTCAGGGCCATCCAGGCCTACGCGCCGTACGCATTTGTCAAAGTCATAGTCTAATAGTCAGCGATAAGAAGGACGGTGGCCGAACAGAAATAGTTTGGAAAAGAGGTATTGGCAGTCAGAAAAAAAAAGATGATGAGATGGAGCAATTGCATGACAGTTTTTCAAAAATTCCGCTTGGTTTGCGAAATATTTCGGTGTAAGCCACCTTCTTCTTGTCGCGCGTTTTTGCTAGATGAGTGGGCATTGCACTATTGGGAAGATTCTGTAATCGCTAGGAATTTCGGATTCGTATTCTGCAATAAGAATCTCGTGATCAGTTCCGATTGATTCTAGTTGATGACGTTGTCTTGCTGCTTACTATGTGGTGTCCACTCATCGCGCAAGGCGAAACGATATAAGAACGAGTACCTCACGTTTGGCTTTAGTATGGCCGCGAGGCAGTTTTGGTGGCCGCTCGGCCCCATCGCTTCGCGTACCAGGTGGCCGTGCAGTCCCTCGGCCAGTTCATGCAGCCCCCGTTCATCGACGATGGCGGGGTAAAATATGGGCACTAGGAGAATCGGATCGCAAAGCTTAAACCATTTAAAAGAGTGCAAGATGATCATTGCTTCGATTTTGCGCGAACAGCCGACTGGAAGTATAAAGGATAGGAACCTTGCTTTTATCACTGGTTTTGCGCCAAAAAATATGTTAAGCTAACTTCAACATTGTCAAAAAAATAATATTCCTGTCGTTTTTCGAATTCTCGCAAATGGCGTGTCGTGTGTTTTCAAAAGGTTAATAGATTATTGCGTCCGAATCTCCTAGGTTGCCATGCCTGTCGATCATCTTTTCTGACACCCTCTCGATCTCAACTCCGGTATATTTAACATTTTCATGAGTCTGCCCGTTGGCAGCGCCGTGGCCTCCGGTGGGCCGCCCACTTCGGCCAGGTGCCGATCCAGGTTTTCCGCGACCTCAACGAGTTTTTTGTCAGTATTACCAAGTCTAATATGCAACACGCGTTTATGAGGCTTCCCTTAATTTTTTGATTCCAGGCTCAGGCCCCGTGAGGCGTTCTTCGTTGTGCAGCCTTTTCATCTATGTGTCTATCCATTTTAATAATTGTTTAATGAACAACACGCCTTACAAGAAATAAATTTTTGAAGAGAAATTCGGAAAAAGGCACTAAACACATGCATGGAATGCCAACCTCCGGACCGGCGCCTTCAACCACATATTGATCAGGTAAAAGTTGGCACCAGCTCCTACAAAGTTTTTTTCATTTTCGCGCGCTGCTCGCTCAGGCTGATGGGACAAAAATGGATTGCGCGGCCCCGGAGATGCTGCAATAAAATTTGGAGGGTTTTTGCCGTTTTTAAATCAAAACGATCGAGTTTTGTATTAGGTCCCTCTTTAGCTTTCATATTTCGCTCTTGGCAGACCATTTCAGTTTCCACTGAAATTATCAACCATGGCATTCCGCGGTCCATTTGAGCTTGACAAGAAGAAAGTGAAATGAAAGATAAATTGAAAATGAGAAAATGAAAGTAAGTATAAAGTGTTACACATAAAACTCCAGATTTTTTTAGAAACCGCTAGCTTTCTGCGATGAAATGATACGGTCGGCAAGCAGCTCCTTGATACGTCGTCGCTAGGAATGGTTCGGAATGGTAGTTTATAGTATCTGTAATATTTTCTGTATTTTCAGCTATCAACACAATGCCGCCAACAAATGATGGTGACCAACAACATAACTGAGGAGTCGAAGCACAAGTTTGGCAAAACAGGGGCACTTCGGAATATTGCCCATCTAGGCTCGAAGACATCCGTCAGCTCCCTGCTCCTTCGCTGCTCCTTCTGCACCAACCCAATCCTAAACCGAAATGACTGCTGTTTTGCACCTCCTTGTGAAATAAAGAGGAATCTGAAGACTACCTTATTAACATTGGAATAAGGAAACTAAATCAAAATTAAAACTTTAATAAAAAGTAAAATATAAATTTTAATTTAATTTTAAAAAAATTTAAAAATTATTGATGTCGAAGCGGGTGAGTACGTTCTTGGCCGCAAACACCACTTCTTCTGGGCCACAGAACGAGTGCGAGTGATGAAAATTACAACCCGCCAATGCATGCTGGAATTTGCATAAATGCTCCTGATTGACTAGAGAAAAAAGCACTTCCATTTCCTCGCGTTTTACCAGAGACCGGTGGTTGGTTTTGTTTTGCTACTCTTTCAATCGTTTTTCAATCTCGCGATGCCCCCTCGAATTGGCGCACATGAGAACCAGGAACCGGAGGCGCCCTACCGCGCCCCGCCGCCCATGAATATTGACCAGATCATTGGGTTGTTTTTGCCCTTGAACTTACTTCTGTCTAGTTTGGCTCGCGCTCGTCTGAACATGCCCGAGCTGGTGGCGGCCGAGCAGCTTCTAGGCGCGCACCGTCCGCCCGGCAACCGCCTCGAAGAGGCTCAAGTTCGCAATTTAAAGGGATGGGCAAGGCAAGACCATGGATTTTGCTAGCTGTAGATTCCAGATGAATTTTGCTGTCTGGCCATCTGGTCAATGGGAGCAAAAACCGTAGCAAATCCATAGCCAACAAAATCCATCGTCATGCATTGCCGATTCCTTTAAGGCAATTTCATTTGACACGATATTTGAGTATTTGCGGGGGCGGGCAAGTTTCTAAAGGTTTTAATTGAATTCAAGGTTGATTTGACTTTCAAAATGAAGGAACTAGCCGGTCACCAAGCAAATACTCAAATACCGATCTTATCTTGCGGTTGGTAGAATATTGTTGCCCGCTTCGTCCTGGTGCAGTCTCGTTTCCTTCTTCTCCGTCGCGCCATCCACCGTGCCAACCCGATGATTGCTATGGTAGTATTTGCAGCAAAACTGCAAAGCCACAAAAGTTTTGTATTTAATTTCCTGAGCCTGGATAGTTAATGCTTAGTGAATTCGATCAAAATCTCGGATTTTTTTGCATTATCGCGGGGACCAGCTTTTTTAAGATACGATCAAACCTACATAGTGAAAATGTTTTAAACTGTTTTTTACTATTCCTAATCGTAAAAAATCCAAAAACAACAATAATATGGTTTTATTAACTATTTAGATATTTTTAGGCATCTAAAAAAGTTCGGTCCCCCCCCGATAATGCGAAAGAACCAAATGTTGTGCGCTTTGATTCTAGGTCGGGCAGCCCGCCCTTGTCAACTACGTGGAGGAGTACAGTCTACAGTTCAATAGGGCTAGGGGCCGCTTGATTCAGTTGATTGCTACCGCCGGCGCGCACCGCCATCATCCCGTAAATTCTATATTCGCTATGATAAGTACATAATTTTTTTTTTTTTTTGGAGTACAACGGGTAATTTTTAGGCGTATTTGCGCCTCCAAAGGGCCGGGCTCGGTTGGGTGCGCGAAATCGGCATCCTGAGGGCTGAGCTTCAGCAGCTGGTGGCGGCGCTCTTTAATTGAGTCGTCGGGTTTTAAGTATTTTTAAATCACGCTTAGAGTACAACATTTTCGTGCGCGCATTTCTTCATATGGAATAAATCATTTATTGAATTGAAAGATACACACAACGATAAATAATTCACCGAGTTGGCGACAGAATACATATGCATATTACACATGGGCAAATTGGAATGTTAAGCTATTCGAATTTGACAATTTTGCTTGTTAAAGTTTAGCTATAAATTGAAACATTAATTTTATCTAATCTTATAAAAAAGGCAGTTTCGGAATGACTTGCACCATGTTTTATAGCAAATTTTGAGCTTACTGTAATTTACACATAGACAATAGACAGCATAAAACAATTGCTCTCATATTAAAGCATTAATGAAATGGGTATCAAAATGCACGTACAAGTTGAGATCACAGAATTTGTTGGGCGTGTGTTCGGGGCTATCGAATCGTTGGGCTTGGATAGAAATATCGGTTTTTGTAATAAAATAAATTAATTTTTATAATGACTAGGTTTAGAAAGATATTAATAAATTTAAACCTTCTTAATCAGTTTATCACGATACGGAGATTGGTAGCTAGGTAAATTCTCGTGATTGGGTCTTCTGGTAGGGGCGTAGGGATAAAATTCAACGTTGTCGGGATAATTCCGGTTGTACGGCTTCCGGTATGAATTGGTGGAGGGTCCGTAACCCATCTTTCTCCTCTCGGCCATCCGCTTGATTTCCTGTTGTCGACGTCGTTCACGCTCTTCTTCCTGGAAAGTTAAGGCGTACATTATAAAAAGTATAAAAACTTACCACTTCTCCTGACGCTGCTGCTCAATTAATCTCTGCCTCTTTTCTCGCTCCTCTCGCTCCTTCTTCAACCTCTCCTCTCTTCTCTTATTTTTCTTTTTCTTTTTCTGCTTCCCATCGTCAGGTTTTGGAGTGGCGATCTAACCAATAAATTGCTAGCGTCCAATTTTAAATGCTTACAATAGTCGGAGCCGTCGGAACCATCGGATAATCAGCTCCTTGCCATTTGCTCTCATCAATAGCATTATCCCCTGTCGACCTTCTAATCGAGCTGGATACCACCCTTAATAAACTGTTTCAAATATTTTCCACTTTTCCGAGATGTTCCCTAAATTCCACTTACTGCGTCACGTCAATGTCGTCGGGCACATTTTGGGCTATGTCAAAATGCACGACGAGAAAGTGGGCTGATCTTCGTCTTTTCCGTGAATTCCGACCTTTTCGGGGATGGCCTAATTATTCTTTGTTATTAAAGTTTGCTATAAATTATTACCGTCTTTCCGTATCGCCACGTACCATGGCTTGAATTTGGCGTCTATCGTTGACGGGTAGTGAGCGCAGGAGGAATATAGGTTGTAGTAATTTTCCAGCATTTCTTCTAGGAAAACACATTCCGCGGAATAGTGATCGGCTGGCTGAAATAAATATTAGATTTGTAAAGTTCTGTCTTAAACTTACCGCAGCGTAGAGTCTGCTTGAATTGTCCATACATAAAAATCTGTTCGACTTTTCGCCTCTTATAGACACAAGGCCAATCGCAACAGAGATAAAGTGAAGTATACCTTAAAGCATACTTAGATTTGGCGACTACTACCAAACTTACTAAATTCACTGCGAGTCTGTAAATTCCCCCAAATTAAATTATCTTGAGTCGTGTCCCGTTTTCTTCGAGACGATTCCCGCTCGTCAAGAATCTAAAAATTGGATTTTCAGCTAGAAATATTCAAAAATTACCTCTAACCAACTCCCACTTCTGCAAAATAACGCCCCGCGTCGTACTGTATTGTTAGTTCTAAAGGAATATGTAAATTTAAATAAATAAAACTTACAATTGGCCATCTGGCATCCGGAATATACCGTAACCATCAGGGACCTGACGGGCTTTTGCGTAGTTTGCACAACTTGCCGCAAGTTCGGGACTAAAAAAATATTCTAATTTTTATTGTTTGAAACCTGTGTAGTGACTGCTCTTCTTGTTCATCTACCGCATACGTTTCTGGGAAATCCGTCGCTTTTGACGTTGGTTTTGGTCGAAATCTGAAAAATAACTATATAAAAACATCAAAATTCGGGTTTTTTTACTATCGCGCTCACCGTAAAAAGTTTTCCAGAGTTTTCAGCATTTTGGAGCATGAACTTTGAGGCCCAAAACCCTCGTAAATACGTGCAAAAGGCAACATTTTTGTACCCAGATGCACCCAGACAAAAGCCCTGCTCTCTGAACGCCACGACGTTAAAGTTTACGACCAATCTCCCTCGGGTTTGCAACAATGTTGCTACTGCCGGTCATAAACGTTAAGGGGGAGGCGGCTCTTGTTGCCCTTGTTGCACTTGTTGTTGTGCTTTGGATACCTTGATCGAGCCCGAGTTGTGGCTCCCCGTTGAACAGCCGGAGCTTGGCTGGTGCTAGCTGGTGATTGCCAATAGCTGACGCGATTGGTTTGGCGTTGCTCGAATTCCTGAAGATATTTAAATAATCAAATCTTCATGAAAATTAAGCTTTGTTTAAAAAAAAGTATTCCAAATCTACCTCGGGCAATGTCTTTGGCGGCAAATGGCGTGAGGCTCGCAAATTTCTGGGCACAAAAATGGCCTCATCGTATCTAAAACAAGATATAAAAATTATGTATAAAAAATACATAGAATATGCAGTGGAGGTAGACGGGCCTATAGCGCTGCCACCGGCACTAACCGGTGCTGGGAGCATATTCAGCGCATATTCCTAGAATTTTGAGATTAATAAAAAAGGAGAGAGAGAGAGACAGAGAGAGAGAGACGGTTAGACAGAGAAGGGGGAGAGAGAGAGAGAGAGAGAGAGAGAGAGAGAGAGCGAGAGAATCAGACAGGCAGACCTGGTCAGGGAGAACGTTAAAAACAGCTTAAAAATTGAACCAAAAGTGCTACGACTTAAGAAGAAGTAAAAATGCTATAACATAAAAAGAGCGGGGGCGGCCGGAGTGAATTGGCCTGGTTCCAATCAGAAAAAAGTGGCCGAGGCTGCTTGTTCTGAATCAGCGATGACGGTACGAAACTGTTCAAGTTACGTGTTGTGGTCAGAAAGGAGGGATGATATCATATTGTTAAGTTAGTCTGCTTCAGAGATGGGAAAGGCGGAAGCAGCATTAGCTAAAGCATGGTCAGGCTTAGGCTTTGGGCTTAGGTTAGGCTTTGGCGTAAGCTTAATAAAGATAAATCCGAGTACGGATTAATTTTATGCACCTTACTGCCCTCTTTAATAGAAAAGTCCAGATCTGATAAGCCCTCTAACGAGAAGCCTAATAGCCTTTAGACAACAGCCACTATGGTGACTTCCTTGTGCCCTATACCCAATCGCACCCCCCCCCCCCCCCCCCATCCAGTGTCTCCTCCTCGGTCTTCGGTAATAAACGAGCCTTGGCTGGATGGTAAGGGCCTAGCATTGAGGGCCCCAAAGGAGACCCCAGCTAGGTGCCGCCCCGACAAATGGGCCCTCACGGCTCTGCCACCTGGCCATCCCCCTCGAGAACCCAGGGGCCCAAACTCCCCAACCCCAGCCTCAGCTACGTCTTGATGGTGGCTGACGCAGGGAGAGTGGAGGGGGATCCACAAGGCAACATGTCCACGTCACGAGCCATTAGCTGTTGGGGAGCAAGAGGTGGGGCTCTGAGATCTAATCGATGGTGATCAAGGCTGTTGTCCACTTGGTGATCATCAATTAGGTTGGGGCTTAACCTCCCTTGGGGGGATCGGGTCCGGTTGACCCTTGCTTTAAATTGGCGATGGCGATCAGGAAGGGGAATTGGAGGAGGGGTTAAAGGGTTTGGAAAGCGTAAGAATCTACCCCCTTCTAATGACTAGGTCTTGACAATCAAAGGATATGCAAATAATGCAAAATATACAGAAAATTGAGTTTTCTAAGCAAGAAGTTTAACCCATCAATGGGAGATTCATAGATTGAGATATTTTTGAAAATTTAGTGGAATGTCTAGACCTAGTCAAGCAAACGGGTTTCCGGTTTTTAGTTAAATTCATGCTATTTTATAGCTTATTTGAGCTATTAAGCGTTCTAAAACTGTAGATAATCCTTAAGAGGAGTATCTAAAAGATTTTCTGAAAATAAATTGGGTTATTGCATTTTATTAATAAACTTTAAATTTTATTTAAGTGGCTTAGAACAGAGATTTTTTAACGAAAATTTAAAGTGGCTGAAGAGACCCAAAAACACAAATTTGCATGCAAATCCCCCGGGAAAATAGTGATACAAGGACACACCCCCACAGCAGAGATACACTCAAAAGATTGCGCGCCGGATCACCTTGGTTCAAAAACGGTTTCGCGCTGACTTCCGCGCTAGCCAACCCTCCCTCTTCCTCGACTCCTCAAAAAACAGCGAGGCGCTGCCATAAAATTGACGCCGGCTAGGCAACGAGAAACACTAAAAACCCGCATGGTCAGATCTTTGTCTTTAGCCCCCGCTTTCGCGAACATTATCGCTCGTTCATCTAGCAAAAGCCTGCGGTTAGGACGGGGGGAGGTCGAGGTGGAGGCCGAGAAAATGCTGGTGGAGATGAGCAGAACATGGAATGTCACAGGGGAGCCTGGCATTGGTTTTAATTTTTAATGGATTTGTAGTTTTCAAAAATGCTGCCATTTTTGCAAGGAAATAGGGATAAAAACGTCAAAAATTCAGCTAAAAATGGTTTTCAAAAATTAGAAGCCGCCTTAAAGGGACTTGTGGGTCAAAAACAAATAACTTACAAAGTAGAAAAATTTAAGCTGCCGATGGTAGCTTAAGGAATTTGATGAATTAAAGCTACAAAAAAGTGCCGTCGGATCGCATCGAGCTTTTTGCCAAATTTTTGCCTTCTCAGTCCCTTCAAAAGCCACTACCAATTGAGCAAGTGCTCGTAAAATCTTAGGGTCAAAAGTATCATCACGCACTTCTAAAAGTCAAGTAATAAATCTTAGAAAATATAGAAAAGGTGCCTGTAAATTGGTATCCAATTTCAAAAGGATTCGAGTAAGTATGATCTAGTATTTAAATAATAAATTGTCACAAAAGTAATAAGTAGTCCAGAAAGACCGAAGATCTCAGCCCATCATCTCCTCCCCAACTACGAGGCGAAGAGTGGCGTTCGCCGTGCCTCCACGACGGCTCGTCGGAGGAGGGTGGCCCTCTCGAAGGCGGACCAAAAGCCTTCGGAGAGCGTCAGGTGTTCCAGGCGTCACTCCGATGATCCATCGGCTCACATCTGAGGATGGGTAAAGGAGGTGGAGATTGGGAGAGAGGGACTCCCGAGCCAGAGAGAAAACAACAGTTGCACCATCGTCTTCTTCCCATGGGACACGTGAAGTGGACAGTCTCTTAAGGAGTGTAGACACAAGGGAGTGCGACTCCTCGATCTGTGAGGTCATCAGCTCATGGAATTACAGCTGAACGAAAAACAAATCGTTCCAGCTAGAGGGGATGGTGAGGTCAGTGATTGGGAGGAGGGGTCAGAGCACGATTTTTGAGATGGGAATCAGCGTGGAGTCTGGGAGTTTGAGCGCCCGGAGCTGTCACTCTCCCTTTAAGGCCTAATTAGCGTCATTTCGTAAGTAAATTTTTAGATCTAAATATTAAAGCCAGCTTTATCTTTGCAAAATAAACAACAAAAACGTGGAAAATATACAATAATACAAACTACAACTACAACTTCCTTATGATCTTTCGAACCAAAAAAACTATACAACCACCACGTGCAGACAGGTCCCCCACGCCCCCTCAAAAAAGAAGCCCGTTTTGACGCCCCAAAAAGGCGCAAGAGACGCCCAAACGGAAGTGGTTTATGGGCGGCCGAGGAGCCTGATTTTCCCTTCTGGCCCCCGGGTCATCGGCTGCTGCAAATCTCATCAAAACGCCTCCCCTCTTTTTGCAGCAGGAAGAAGAAGACCCCCACGTCTACTGGCTGCGGGGAGAAAGTTTGGCTATAGCTGTTCGCCGGAAACGGCTGGGAATACAAGGGACTGGTTGTTTCGTGTAGTTGTGGAGAATGGGCTTGGGCTGGGACTTAGGCTTAGGCTTGGGCTTAGGCATAGGCTTAGGTTTAGGCTCAGGCTTAGGCTAAGCATGACATGCTACTGTACTTCAGACGCAAAATAAAAATTCCAGACCATTTCAAAGGAAAAAGCCCCGTCTAGCCCACCCAATCTTCCAAATCGACCCTAAATCTATCGAACCGCAAAAATCGAATTAATCCTCGAACCACTGAGCAACCCGTCTGGCTTTGAATTTTGCAAAAAAATATACTTTTTGCATAGAAATCTAGAAAATCATAACTTAACTTTTTCGCTCTGATCGTAGGGTCACTTGGACCTTGGGTCTCCACTGGGCCCTACGCCATTCCGCCCCTTGGAGCAACAACCCATTCGGTGAGTGGTTTTACACACCGCCAAATGAGCCCGTAACTACCTGGAGGAAGGATGGGGGCCAATATTGTGGGGTGGAGTTTGTAAGCAGAGATCAAATTGGAAATTCGTTGGACCTATGCATTAAAAATAGGATGTTCTAGCGAAATCCTGATAAGGAACAAAAACTTAACCCAAAGGAGTCAGATAGTATAACAATAACATAAGTAGTCCCAGCCAGCCCGCAAAATTCTCAGCGTTTAAATTTCCGTAACGAAGATGCCGAAGTTTTTGAAGCCTGAAGAAGGAGGAGGAAAAGCTTTTGAAGTGGCCGACGTATCTTGGTCAGGACTGGGGCGGGGAGGGTGGGTATCCAGTGTCAAAGCGTGTGTTGTAAGGTGAGGGTGATCTCGAGCTCAAAACATTGCTCGTGAACAATCGGTGGGGGATTGAGAGAAGGTGGAGAAAGTTATTTGCATATAGTTTTAGGGTGAGGATCCACATCCGGTTATAACTAGTCGATTTGGAGCAGCAAATCGAGGCGAGGGCAAGCTCGACCTTAAAAAAATAGCACCTGAACGATCGTTAGCTTTGAAAAATTATGGAGGAGTTGTTTGACTACGGCTTTTTGGGGTCAGAGGTATTATAATATCGTAATAAAGACGGATAGCAAGATACAGATTACTAGAAAAAATTCCGGCCGTTAGAACCGGTCAATTTCATCAACAGGCCGTACGGCGGGTGAGTCAGGGAAGAAGAATGGACCCACTTTGATGCCTACTTGACCCTGAAAGCATAGAGGGGAAGGAAGGTAGGTGGAGGGAGCGATGGATTATTTGTGATTTAGAGGATTCTAGATACCTAAAATATATTTACGCATTAATAGATCCGAATCAACCCTCAAAACCACAGAAATACAACAGACTGTAGCCTACGAATACTGTATCCGCTCCATACAAAATTTAAGAAAGAGACAAACTGGTGCCAGTCGGACCAGCGGTCAGCCTCGGCGATCTGGGCGCGGCCCTCCGGGGGTTGATGGTAGCCGATGGGTGGCAATTTTGGGTCCGTTGACCCCCGGCACGAACCCCACCAAGAATAGACCACCCTCCATCCCCCATAAAGGATGTCCAAAGTGCATCGGCTGCCCAAGACAACCCTCGGCTAGGGGTAGCCGATTTTTGGAGGAGCTTAAAATAGAACAAAACTTTGAATGGGAGGATTGGAATGAA